CACTTCACATTCTGCCTACATGAGAGTCAGGAATAAAGCACTGGTTCACATAAACGGTTAGGGAAACCCCCCTCTTTTTTTAAATTGCACATTATTGAGCTGCCTAAAATTGTATGTAACCCTGCATAATTTGGTTGAGACAAATCGAACAGAAACCTCAAAGCACTTTTGACCACTCTCAGCTCCGGAACAAGCAGTGAAAACAATCTCAGTCTTTAAAACAATAATTCCACACCTGCTTGCACACCGATACATAAGGGGGAGTACAGAGATGACCTTGAGGCAGCCAGACTCCAGTAAAAGAAAGCAGAAACATTTTGCATCGGACAAAGACCAGGCACATTAGACTGACCATTTTTAAAATCACGTGGCTGTGCATGAAGAGTTATGTAATTGATTGGCTTGTCAATCTCTAGAATTTATTCCTGGCAAAATATAATACCACTGAACAGACAACCAGACAGATATTAAATACATGCAAATAAATACGCACAGAACAAGAGGAAGACATTGAACCGCTCTGCCCATTTGGTAGTTAGTAACTGAGGCAAAGACCTCGCCAACCTGTTTCTAGAAGTAGCCAGTGTATCGGCTCCAATAACACGACCAGGTCGTCTGTCCCATTCTCCCGGGATAATGGAGTGCCTCCCTGTTCTCAGCTTTGAATGCACTTCCATGTAGTTTCCAATTGCATCCTGTGGTTCAAATTTCACCAGTGCTTTCATTTACAAAAACGACAAATGAACGATTTCGTGGTCATTCAAAAAGCTCAATCCTGAACTGTGGGCACACAATGCAGAACGACACCAATTTAAAAAAAAACACTGAAGAGAAAGTGTGACATTTTTCTGAAATATGTCATATTACAAAGTGAGCACGGTGGTAATTTTACAATTCCTGGGGCCATAACCCACAGATGGATCCTACGAGAGGGGTCATCCACTTTAACCCTCTGGCTGTGTTTCCGAGGCGAATTTGGAACTTTTACCATATACCGCGATTCTTGACTCAAGTCCGTGGCTGTGAAAAAACATCCCCCTTTCGGTGCTGAATCTACTGTTCTTTAGGAGTTTCAAAATGCCTGCCTTAATCCTCCCACCATGCCATTCTTGACATTAAAATATTTTTTACCCCTCTTCCCAAACAATGAGGGGGCCTCACAATGTGAAATGGCCTGGGCCTCATCTGAGGTCTCCCATCAGGCATTGGCGATTTCTGCAAACAGCTGAACCTGTGCTGCAACACTGCAGCTCCACAAGTACCGCCTTCCCATCCCCGTCTCGGCCCATTCACCTGCACTCTAAACAGGAGGGAGGTGACAGACTTCGCTCTTCTAGTTCTGCGGTTTCCCAGAGGATTTTCGCTGCTTAAATGGGGCGTCTGAAGGCAAGACAACGCAAGACAAAAGGCCTCGACTCCACAGTGGTGTAGTCACAGCCGTTGCAGGGCACCTGGTGGTGCGGGCTTGTACTCCACCCACAGCTGCACTAACTCTGCAGCCTCTCCTTCCAACCCATCTGCCCCTAAGGGCATCGGGCTTCCTTGGAAACTGGGAGTACGGAACAAGTACACAGGGCATCAATTTGGAAGAAAAAAAAATCAAAAAACATTTTAATATGCATCTGTAAAACTCCAAATCCTAATTTAGAAATCGTGGACGAATTATGCACCATTATTCATTATGAGCTTGATGTACACTGAAATGTCAACAAGGCCATCTGACTGGTGAAGGCTCGCCATTACTATGTCTTAAAACGTTTGAAATATCTAACTGAATATTAAGATGGGTGAATTGGTAAATGAAAAATATTTAACGAGCATTACAGCAGGTAGCATACGTGCTTGAAAAGCAATGAATGTCAGTGACTCACGCCAGAAATCCCCACATACCCACCAAAAAAAAAATCCCTTCTTCAGAATTCTGTACCCTCACAAAATAATCATTTTCTTACGTCGCATTAAAATTAGAACTGGTCAATATCAATTGCGAGAATGGCGTTGAGCTCGATCAGCAAAGCTTTAGAAAAAAAGATGAGGATTTCACATTCCCGGAGATGATCACATAGGTATTGCAAGACTGCAACTACCGAACCCGAGAATTCAGCACCGTTCAAGTTTGCTTTTCATAACCGGACACTGAGCTAAGGCGAGAACCGAAAATAGCACAATGTTTTCAAGACGTACAGTAGGCCTGCGTGTAAAGGCAATAATAGGCCTTACTGTCTAGAACAGTCTGCTGTTTGACTGATGGCGCAACTCCGGTGTTCTCCTGTTTGCTTAGTAGGAACATTTGCAGTTTAAGGTATCGTTAAATAGGCGTTTTTTTTCAAAAGTTGTTCAAGTAGGTAGCTGCGTCAGCATGCATAGGCTGCAAAGGAACAGGTAACGGGTTTATTCCATGCTAAAAACAAAAAAAAAAAACTCACACCTGAAGAAGGCTCCAAAGCCGAAACGTTGCGTTTCCTCTCTTTTCTTTTCAGCGTGGAATAAACCCGTTACCCGTTCATTGTTTTTTTTTAAAGGTCAGGCGTTCACCTTTTTCTTCGCAGTCAAAGACACGTTCGAAGCCCGCAAACGCGGCAGGGGCCGGGACCACAGAACGTGCGCGAGCTTGAGCCAACTACCAGATCCATGACCTCAGCGCTCGGGGACACTTGGAGCCCTGTCGCACCGTGGTCTCTCAAGGCGGAGAGTTAGTATTCTCCTTCTGGGCGTCGAAAAGCACAAACAGCTTTCGTTATCCTTCCTGCTGTTCGGCTTTCCAACTCCACCCATTAACAAATTGGTATGTCACAATACCAATTGAAACTGAATTAACACTGTATGCTTTCATACAAGACTAGATTAGAAAAAAATACCTCGGCCCCTTACAGACGTTCTCGTGTGGTAGGTGGTTTTATTTTTGTTTAAAACACGCTTCCCATTTCAAGTAAGGTTCATCTGTCACTTATGAGGCAATCTGTATCGAAATCACATTAATAAGTAACGTCACTTTCTTGCACTGCATAAACGTATCAACGGTGCTGTCAGCTCGTCATTGCTCCAGTTACTCGTTAAAAACACAATGTCTTAAAGTAACTTGACTGATCCCAGTTTAAGAACTGTCCCGTACAACAAGCGAGGTGTCACAACGGACAAGAGATCGGAGATTCAAGACTTACACTTTTGAATAGCTTATCCTGGAACTAAGGCTGTCGGAAATGTTATTCTCGGAATCGTGAAGACAGCGTCTTGACAATTTATTAGGCGCGACTGTGCGGGACACAAGCTGCCAGCCCTGTAGCTTATAAGGGTACCATGTCTAGCGCCGTTCTCCCGTTATGCGCCTGCAATCGAGCCAACAGCACCGGCTTTGCTGGTAGTGTTATTCAAAGTGTCTTAACCGATTAGCAATCACCATTTAAGACTGTCTCTGTGTGCGTGCGCTTGCACGATATTCCAGAAAACCCTGCACACGGCCCCGGCGCCATTCAAAACTTATTTTCTCCCCAAATCAGAGCTGCAGTATCGCCTATTGATCCCCCCATCACCTGTGATTATGATGAGTCTTTTCATGAACTCCCCTGAGGTAATTTAAAAACTGCGTGTGCTGATGTCTAGCCAAAGACGTTTTGCTATTAGTCTTCTTCGGATCATATAAAACCCGCTTAATGGCGGTGCAGTTCTTGTATTACAGCCATTTTAACAGACAAGTTTTAAAACAAATTGCTGTGGTTTAAAAAAAAAAGCACAGTCACCTCTAAATAGCGATGCAGCCCTCTGTTAATTTGTTACGGAACAATACCGGCCCTCGTTTAATTCATGTACTTCTGAAGATGAATGTTTAAAAATCACCTGTTAGGAGAGAAACGGACCCCGCCATCAAAAACGAACACCTTGGCTGATTCCGAAACTGTACAATTTATCAAGAGGAGAGCAAGGAGGAAACCGCTGAAAACGCTTTGTAGTTTGTTGTCTACATATGGTCTAATTAATGGAGACATCTGATTTTAGACTCCCCAGCAAACTAATTCCACCGTCTGATACTTTATACGTTTAATCTGCCGAACGACAAACCCAGGTCCCAGAGGTGAAGAAATCCTGCCGCGCGCTGTAGGGCAACTTCTGGAACTGGTGACCACGATGCGGAACGGGACAGTCCGGCGCTTGTCCGTCTGGAAGAAATCAATACCCTCTACAGCAAGTAAACGAGTCTGATCCCGCGACACCCCGCTCTGCAGCTCTGTACCGACACTTCTAGCGGTAAAGGACAGTCGTTCTCCCCCCCGTTTTATTTCGACGTCTCGAACGCTTTCTGCACAACGCCTACCACTGCGCTGCTCTCCCTTCAGGGTATTGTAGATGGATCAAAAGAGCATTCCAAAAGCATGGTCAACTCATATGACAAAGCCGTAAGGTTCATTATTTTCAGGAAAAAAAACCATGTATCGGCCTCACTCATCAGCAAGTACTTCTTTTTTTCCTCCAAAGCAGTTTCCACCGCCAGACCACGAGCGACGGCATGAGAATCCCATCTTTTTACTCCCATCGCTCCCATTAAAACAAGTCATACAACATATGGGTACATGGTACATAGGTAATGACTGGCGGAACATCTAAACAGGCTTCCTGATGATATAACTAAGAAGCCGAACCTCCCCTTTGGGGCGCCGAAAAATATTCATGTACAGTCAATAGCGCATTATCGTATTTCTTGTAGCCCAAGCCTAACACAACCCAACACCCTTAACAGTAATAGTTTTCATGTCCCCAACCTCTCCAAATCGATAACAAGACCTAATAAATCACAGTCCCTCCAGTCACCCTCCCCACCCCTCCTCCCGTCACCTCCGCTCGCTCGTAGTGGACTGCAATGCCTTCGTTTTACTTAAGCACAGTAACCGATTCGACCAGGGCAACAGCAGGTTAAAAACCAGGCGAGCAGAATGCCCGCACAGACACACACACACCTGTGGAAAATACAGCGTAACTAAGAGCGAGAAAAAACGACCGAGACCAACCTCACTCTTCACTTGATAGACGAAGCTTCAGGCTCTATCAAACACGACGGCAGACGTGTAGAAAAAAAACCTCTTTTCTTCCTTTCACCTCTTCTGTATATTTATATGCGTTTAATCCAAGCTTCCGCCTGTGGCGGTGGAGGTAACGCGAGAGAGGATTCCCCCTTTCAGTCCGTTTTCGTCTTTCTGAATAGGGCTCAGAAACTCTGGCACAAGATAGCCGGTATTCTAGCACACTACCGTGGAAGAAGAGAAAACGCGAACAACCAAATCTCAGTCAAGCAAGATCTTCCTTAAGGGAAGACCGGTAATACCTGCAGAAAATGCGGTTTCTGATTTTTCTTGGCAAAGACGACGCTAAGCGTGTTTTCTTCTTTGGAGATTCACCTACAATTCGTTTGCTTGTAGCTGTTGCGTTTATGCCCCAAACCGAGAATGTGACATTCCTCAAAAATCGCCGGGATCAATACTTTCCGTGCGATTAATTAATTGCAAGATTCTATACGGTTAAAAATTCGTCCCTTGTTTTCGCAGCCGCGTCCGAGTATAGCAGTTAATGAATCGGTATAAACAACAGGTTTGGACAAAGTCGGCTTTCTGGTTTGGGGGGAAAAGAAAGATAAGAATCCAGAACAAAATTCCGAAAAAAAATACTTTGGCGTTGAAAAACAAGCAGCTTGATTTTTTGTTTGGTTGAAATACAGTAGTTTTTTTTTTTACTATTATAGAATAATTGTTTTTAAAGCGAAGAAAAACACATCTAGCGATGCACCAAAAACAACAATATCGCACAGGTTAGAAAACAAACATGAACACTAATATCTGTAGCGACTGCAGTCTCTATTCGCAACCCACATGTATATGGAAAATAAAATTCCTTTCGCCTCCAAAGAAGAGGAAATTATTACGGCAGAGGGATATCCGCTGGCTTTAGTTTCTTCTGGATTCCCGTCCTGCCCGGGATATCAGAGCAAGACCGGCTGTCCCCGTTTCGGTTTGTTTGCCTGACTCGGGTGCCGTCGCCGGGGGTCGGGTTCTCGCCTGGCGCACTGTGACAAGCTGGAGCCGCCGCGGTGAAAGTGAGCGGACAGTCGCAGACTCACTCCGGACTGCAGAACAATGGCAGCGCGCAACTCAACCCACCGACTGCTGCGGCTGGAAAGAGAGAGAGAGCGACCGAGCTGGCCGGGGAACAGCCGAGAGGAGGGAGGGACTGCTTTGGGATTAGTCATTTAAGGTGGATCTGCGAGAAACGTTCGGCCGGCGGGCGACGGGTTGCGTTTTTAAGGCACCGCCTTCCGAACTAATCCATGAAGACGAAAACGTGTTTAGTGCGAGTTAGTTGGGTATACGGAAGTGTTATTTCCACCCGGCATTTTGCTCCCCACGAAAAAAATAAAACTTCCGCCAACTATTTTAGACTGTCCCTGGCTCATTCCCAATTGATTGCTAATCGAGTCAGGAGAAAATATTTCCATGCATACATCAGTACGCGGCGCCCTGTACAAGGAGTTAAAAGTAATTGGGGTTATTAACAGCTAAACCGTACTAAAAGAACACTGATAAGTTTAAGGTGGATCTGATTACAATATTCATTGTGTATTTTAAACTTGCAGTTTGTTCAACAACAGTACTAAGGCAGTCCTGCACTTATAGTGACGTTTGAAGATATAATATTTTGGCAACCACAGCGGATACTCCGGTAGCTAAATAAGAAAGGCACCAATTAACCCTATATGAGACAGAATGGACTTTAGCTTTAATCAGTGGATTGTTTTCCATTGATTGTTTCAGGACAGAACTTTCGCACCACCTGACAAGGGGCGCGGCGCTGGAGCGAGGAGTCTCATTCCACTCTGAAAGGCCCGGAGAACGGAGACAATTGTTGATCTTTCCTCTCTTAACAGCAACATTTATTGAACAGAACGTTTTTAAAAGACAAGTTCAAAAACTGACAACACTATATTCCATTAATTAATAATAATAATAATAATACAACACAGAGTGCATTCTACATCATTCAAGATAAACACATTTACAAATGAGTGATTTGCATGCCAGAGTACAGTGAACCATACTGTACACACACAAACATCTTAAAAGTTCTGGAGTCAATACTTCACAATAAAGCAACTTAATAGGATTGTTTATGTCAAATGACCAACAATACAGCTAATTAAATACTTCAAATTAAGGGTGTAGTGGTGAATGGGGTGTTAACCCCAGTGTCCTGACTAAGTTTCCTCCTGGCCTTTACCAGTCATGGCCTCCTTATAATCCCCACCTATAAATTGGCTTCATCAGTCTGTTTTATGGCTGCTGTTGCATCAGGCACGTGGGTGCTACACCTTGGTGGTAAATGAAGTGCTAAAGCATAAAAGTGTTTTGAGTGGTGTTTCCAGAAAAGCGCTGCATAACTGTAAGGATATTGTAGTTCTTATTATTACTGATTTAAGTAATTTGCCAATTTTATCACTAGGACTCCATGTCCATCGTATCTCTTAGATCTTGGCGTGATCATAAGAACACATTTCTGCACCAGGAGTATTTACAGGGGTGCCACCGCTTGCCATGGGGGTGTGTTCCAATGACGCCCTGCGCTGTACCTCTCATGTGCGTTTCTTAGCTCTCCTGGCGGGTGGGTCAAAAACAACACAGGTTCCATCCCGTCTGGATGGAGATGCAGTGCTCTGCCAGATGTTGTCACAACACCTGAAGCATTGAGAGCCACTGTGATAATCGTGCAACCGCAGGCACAGCTTGAACACATTCAACCAGCCGTGCCAGCAGTGTCACCTCCCCTCTGGAAGCAAGTGTCCAATAAGAATAAGAATTCCTTACACTTATATAGTGTTTTTCTGGACATCTCATCTACAGTACATCTCCTCAGGACTGTGCCTTTTAACAGTATAATGTCCCCATCACTTTACTGAGGCATTAGGGCCCACACAGACCACAGGTGAGCACCCCCCTCTTGCCCCACTAACACCTCTGGGCAGAGTGGTGGCTCTGTGGCTAAGGATCTGCACTTGTGGCTGGAAGGCTGCCGGTTCAAATCCTGTGGCCGGCAGAGGAATCCTACTCCCTTGGGCCCCTGAGCAAGGCCCTCAACCCCAGCTCTAGGGGTGCTGTAAAAATGGCTGACTCTGTGCTCTGACCCCAAGCTTCTCTCCCTGTCTGTGCTCTGACCAGGCTCACTGTGGAGCTTCAGTAGGTTGCCAGGTGATACAGCTGCTGGCTGCTTTCTATGTCTAGGACTGAGATACAAATGCCAAGGCCACACACACATTTTGTAAAACGTTTTTGTTAAAACTATTTTAAACCTTAGATACAGATAGAATAACCAAGTGCTCGTGTTGAGGAGGGAAGCCAAAATGAGCTGGAGGGCTTTTAGTACATTAAACCATTTTCTAAAGTGCTTCATTTCTTTCCGGTTTCATAGGTTTCATAGCGGTCAGTGACACCTGTTCTGATGTTGGGACAGGTTTCCCAGAGAAGCACTGAACCTCGAACGTGCCTCAGCGCCGCAGTAACACTGGTGTCAGGATCACTGTGCTTTCCACGTTATTTCTGGCCTTTCGGCTACACCTGCACCTGTCAGTTTCAGACTAACCTCTGGCCACGCTCCGCTCTCAGCCTCGCACTCAGAGAAGTTGCTAATGAGATACACAATGTGAACCAAAGTTCAGTTCATCATTTCCTTCTTTTCTTCTGCCTGAGCCAGCAGAGATTTAAACCTCAAACACCCATCCCTTTCTGCAGTAGGAATCTATTCAAGAAATTTATATATCACTCATGAAAGGAATTTCACCATTCTGACATATTGTACTCCTAAATGCAGAGTAAGAAGATGGAGTTTTTGTTTTCTGTAAGAAGTCCCTTAAAGACTTCTAAAACTACTTTCACAATTGTTTGGTATCCTTCGGTCTGGGTGCTCTCTCTTAGTTCCATTATATAAAACAACTTTTTTTTTATTATATTACATATAACCAAAACACAACAAAGTATGACTTTTATACAACAAGCATTATCAATCTTGAATGAAAGCATTCACAGCCACTATGCACAGCACTGATAGAAATCTTTGAAGACAATATGCAGTAATTAGGCAGTCCTACTTAGAATTACTTAGAATCTGTCTTCTGTTTTTTGGATTTCAGTGCTTTTATGCTGCTGTTGGTTTTAAAATAAACAAACATTTTGCAATGAATCCTTGGTGATAAAAGCTGTTATAGCACCTGTCTGTTGGTGCAAGTATAGTTTTCTGTATTTATAAGGGAGAAGATGAAAAATATGTAAACCACTACTACTACAAACACTACTATTAAAACCAATGCTATTACTAATAATGATAGATCCTATGATTCATCCTCTGTGCAGTGAACTGTAGCTTCTGCAGCTTGTGTTGCATTTCCAGTCATTGTTTTATCTTGTATTGTTATATTAACCAATGTGGTTTAATTCACACAGCTCTATGTCACATATTTTTGCACTGTTGTTTTTTCAGTCCATTATGCTGATTGCAGCCTTGAGTTAACGTGCCAGCTAAATCAATTATAAGGGAAAAATAAAAGCTGCACTACATCAAGATATACTCTGCTGTCCTCTGTGTCCCGGTTTTAAGACTGGAGTCTGGGAACACAAGGGCAGAGGACATTTTTTACATCGTGTTAGAGCTACATGTTACAGCAGACTTAGTTCAGAACTAGTGGGAGTATTATAGATATCAGTATTACACAATACCCAAGACTGTCTCTCATAGTTGCACAGACATTGTTGTTATTAGTCCTTATTAGCTTGGAGACTGAAACCATTCCCCTAAAGGCATAAATGACAAAGTCACGCTTTTAAAGCATCAGACATGGATACATATCTCTTCATGTGGCGAAAAGGTTAGATTTATTTTATGTCTGTTATTCTCTGCATGTTGTATAGGCATGTGGAGGAAAACAGTTTGTTTATATCTCAAACAAGTGTTGTTATGGCAACAGCAGGCAGAGGTTGCATCAAGTAAAAGGACAAGCAGACCTGATGGGCAAGAATGCGACCTGCCCTCGAGGTCAGGCTGCTCTCTTCTTAAGGTGGCCGACTGGGAGCTGAGCCTGCCTGTCACAGCGAGGGTGCGAGAGGGGGAGAGATAGAGAGAACAAGAGGAGGAAGAGGGACAGAGTGGCAGCGACAACACTGAATGTTTCAATATTCATTTAGCAATTAGATTTTCTTTTAAAAAGAGACAAGTTGAGGCTCCAAATAAAATGCACAGGCTCAATGTGAGGGAAATGCACTCTTCTGAAGTAGAAACTGTCCATGCTGAAGAAAATAATATAATAAAAAAAGAACATAAACTGTGTATAGGATTCCCATTTAAAATGTAATAATTCCACACAGACCTAAGCTACCGAGAAGAGCTTTTGACAAAGGTATATTTTTGAAATAGGTAGGACAGCTGCTTTAAGGTAAGCAAGGAAAATCACGTTAAGGGCAGGACCTCACTAAGAGGCTGGGGAAGATAGCTTCCTAGCTGGACAGTGTGCATGCAGCTCATCTACTGTAGAAGCCTGTGGGTGTGCTGATGTGCTCAGTCACTCTTTTCCATAGGCTGTCTCCGCAGAGGTGCAGAGCAGGGTGTGAGCATGTGCAGTGGGCTCAGCTCGCATGCCTGGACCTGTCACAGGGATGACCCTGGACGCCTGGTGTGTCAGGTGTGCTCATTAACAGCACAGCCTCCCGATTCCCTCACGTGGCCTCCCAGTCTCAGCAGACCCAGGAAAACACACCTCTCTCCCTCTGTCCGTCGCCAGCTCCCAGCAGAGAAAGCAAGCCCTACTATTTCTCGTCAAGACTACTAACAGGAACATTTTGAACTACAAACCAGTGATGGAGGTGGTAGGCTTCTGCTTTTCAAGGTTATTTTTGTAATCAATCAGAGCTTTTCTACCACAATAGAACTTTATCTGGTACGATGCTTCAATGCATTATTATTTCCTGCGAGGACATGCAAGTGTTCAGCTAACAAAGGGGCAGTTTGCTTTCCTTTCTTCCATTAAATACAGAATAAAGCATATCTGACATCAACATACAGACACAGATTGCCATTTGGATATTATTTTGGAAAAAACAAGGTGAATACTTTTGTATTTCTAGTTTTACACACTCGGTGTTGTGGGTAGCATCAGCTGAAGTGAAGAATCTGCCTTTGGAACAAGTTCCCTGTTTCTGTTTCGCAA